CTTGCTCACAGAATAACTTTAATTAGGGCAGTTATTACAGGAACTTGCCATAACAGATGCTTCTCGTAATGCAGTAGTCAACCGTTATATTTGGACTTGAAATTTTTTATGCAAATCCCGTTATTGTCGGACCAGTTTACTATTTTTGTGCCGAGCCAAAAGTTGCAGAAAGGCTAGCGCTTGCACAGTCTTCACTTCATAGAGTTCAGCCTTTGTAAAACAAACTCAGTGGTTTTTTTTTTTTTTCTTGAAATCAATGAGAGTGTTAAACAGTGACGTCTTGTAAATATACTTACATAACATTGGACTACTATGTTCTATTTTTATCTTGAACTCCCGTAGGTAAATAGAAAATTTTTGAGTCTTTAGTGCTGAATAGGATTTAGAAATGACATTACTGGAATAGTTCTGGGAAATTATTTGAGAACTGCAAGTTACTGTTGTTATCCTCAGCTGGAACGTTTAAAATTATGAATTTGGTTGACGCTAGTTGTTGGGAAGAAAGTGGCGGGAAGTAAGGAGGCAGGACAGGGTTGAGCGTGACACTAAAAATTAAAACCATTCCGGAAGGTTTCTGCCCAGTATCAATGTTTACCCTGATATTATTACATTTCGAACACTTTACTAGCTATAGGTTTTCGACGTCCTGGTAGGACTTTGAAAAAAAATCAATGATTTACAATATTCCAGCTGCAGAAGTTATGGATTCTTCCTGCACTGTTTTAGTGGTACTATTTCCAAACTGTAGATGGTTTTTGGCTGAATTAAAAATAAACGACTGCGCTAATGTTGTTCTGACAATTTCTGACCTGTCATGTAACTGTTTTTTGAGTACATGCACTTAAAGTTTTTGAGTTCATGAAATGACAAACTGCGATGTTGTCGACGTGACCTGTCGAATTTACTCATATGTTCACCGGAAAGACTACTTCTCGTCAGTTGACACCTTTATTAAATTTAGGACGAGGTGGAGTGAACTAGTCCGTCGGTGATTTTTGTTTTTACGCACGTGTGTCTAAGAGGTTAACCAACGGTGTACGAATAGCATTAGTCAACGTGTGTGCAACGTCTGTTTGTGTATTTAACAACTGTGATTAATTGCTTTGACTGTTGAGAGCAGTCGTCAGTGATCAAACAGTGATGAGGTTCTAACAATTAAAGAAACTTATCTTGTTTAGAAGGTCAAAGGATGTGAGCTGAGAATTACGTCGTCAACGTAAGCGGGAGGGAAATCAAAGTTGTGGCCTCGTTGAGGTGCACAATTGATTGGTGCTTTGGTTTAAACCGGAATAACTGGTGACCGTACTACTACTTCATCTTTAAGCACGGCAAAATTTTTCACTAAACTAGGAGACTAAGCTGAAATTTCTTCATTTATTCCTTCCCCAGACTTATCAAAGATGGCAGTATACTTTAGGTGTCTCGTTGAGGAAAAGAGAGAGAATGAGAAGCAAAAAACAAGGTTTCTACTGGCAATATGCAAAAATTATAAATGCATCGTACCAACAAGTGCGCAGAGTAACAGAACCTAGAACAAAAATGCAAAAAGTAGTCAATTATCACTAAAATCACAACATAGGTAGACTAGAAAGAAAACACGCTAACTTTTGTACCAGGTGACAAATCAAAAGTTTCTCCCGTGCACTAACGAGCCTGACTGAGTACACTTATTCAAAGGGCTTAATTTTACAAAGTATGATCCCGCTGACTTATAGTAACCTTTCTTATCAACAAAATCATTCAACGAAAAAAAATTTTTAGGGGACGTTAGGACAAGACGGAATGCTGCAAAAAAACAGTAACAATAATAATAATGGTAATAACAATAACAGTAACAATAAATAGACAGAAACCGAACTCTAATATCTAATCGATTTAATGACTTATGGCCTTCATAAGGGCAACTGGCCCCAGCAAGAAACATTGCCTTTCCTTCTTCGAGCTCGTGTATTTTATGACGGCCTTGGCGCCTTAAACTGTATGCTTTGACAGTTCACTAGGCAGAATCAGCCCAACTACCGTCCAGACTTCTCGAAACGAAATGACAGTTCATTTGCGGTACTGAGCCAACTAGTTCCCGTTAACAACATTGCGCTCAAATACATAAATAACGAACAAGTTCGTGATCAACATTGTTTTCACTGAGATACCAATACATGGGTGTGCTTTTTTTAAGCGCCTGACAAAAAAGACATCTTTTTGCTGATTCTTGGCTTCTAGATCTCAAACAGTTTCCTTGACATCTTTAGAAGAAATTTCGGAAAGCATCGTTCAAGCCGCAGTAGACTAGACAACAACAACTACCATGACGAATGCTGCTCAAATCTGATTTGCTTTTCACGTGCATATATGTATGGAACGCAAAGAGCGCTAAAACTTCACCTATAGCTGCACAGCGATTATGCGACAAAAATTCATTCAGAAACGGTCTAAGCAAAGTCTGAATAAACTGCTGAGTAGGATTTGGTGGATTACGTAAGAGACTGAGTTGGTTCTCGAAGGAATTTTTTTTGGAAGTGATTGCGAAGAAATATATCATCGAACATTTAATGCCTCAGTTACTGCGTCTTGCTAAAAGGCCGTGAAATTCTGGAATTACACGTTGTCGTCTGCTCAAATTGAAAGTTCAGCTTGCACAATCCGTAGTATATGGAAAGACTTTGAATTTTCAAGAGCACGAGAGGAATGCATTTTGTTGTTTACGTAATTAAGACCAGTGCTGCTTTTAGTAAGCGACCACAACGTGAAATATGTCACGCACACCCTACAACTACAGAAAAACATTTAATACTCGTGTTGAATAAGTGATTTTCCGCTTATATTCTGTAAGCTTTAAATATGATCAAGCAAGATTACAACAATCTTCTTGAGGAGTCGCTTGATGGGAATGGGAGCAATTAAGTGGGTACTGACACGGAAGATAAATGTAAGATGGAAGAAGATGGGCCAAGCTATTTCAAAAAGAGGCAAAAATTACCCTCTTTAGTCTGTAAATCATTTTTAAAACTAAAGTTCTGCCATTTCTAAACTTTTCGAAAAGATCACCTTTCAAGGTTAATGACGATAACGTCTCTGTTACTGAAGAGAAGGACGATTTCCTGTTTTGCACTTTATGCAGTTGCGAGGCCATCGGGTGCAACCCTCCAGCATGCCGGGACTTATTTTCTTAAATTTTAAAATTTTTGGATAAAAAATTATGCTCAGATTATTGGTAATGCCCTCCAAACAGGGAAGATTTTTATGCACCTTCCCATAAAAAATTTATGGCATTTTAAGCAGTTGTTCCAGTCATCAACTTCAGAATTTCTTAAATCGCTTTTCAGTGTATCACTTTGGCAACCTCAACTATACTGCAAGAAAAGCACAAAAGAGAGAAAGAATATAGCAAGGAAAAAACTGAGATAGAAGATCCAAAATTTATAAAAATATTGAAGAAAAAAAATGGGGTATAGGGACAAGCATTCTGATTTTTCCATGGGACTCCAATTACCAAGTAACAAATCATAGCAATTAGGAGTATGGCACCGCTGTCTCTCCAAAACGCTTTGAATTTGGCGGCAAATGCAGAAACGCGCCAAAACTGCAGCCCCCACGGAGTATTTAAAGATGTAACTGGATTTGATCAATCTAGTGTAATTTACTGCTACATGTCTGTGTTCATTTGCTGGAAATGTCTGGTTGTGGTAAAGGAGGCAAGTTTAGGACTGGCGGTAAAGTGAAGTCGAAGTCTTCGAGGGCTGGATTACAGTTTCCTGTTGGTCGAATTCACCGCATGTTTCGTCGTGGTCATTATGCTGAACGTATTGGCGCTGGTACACCAGTTTATTTGGCTGCAGTGCTGGAGTACCTAGCTGCTGAAGTGTTGGAACTGGCTGGAAACGCAGCTCGAGACAACAAGAAGACTAGGATAAATCCTCGTCACCTTCAACTGGCTGTTAGGAATGATGAGGAGCTAAACAAGCTTTTGCGGGGCGTTACAATCTCGCAAGGTGGTGTACTGCCGAATATTCAGGCTGTGCTGCTACCAAAAAAGATTGCGGAGAAGGCTTAAATTGTTGGTCTCTTCGTTACAACCCCAACGGCCCTCATTAGGGCCACAGTTTGTAAATCAAATGTTATATGTTTGTCCCCCCGTTCTTTGTGCGGTACCCAGGGGCTTCTCTTTAACACAGCATATTTATCTTCCACTGGAGTGTCTTTCAAATGACAAGTTTTTATAGGGGCTTCAGATTTCACCTACACAACTTCTTTCTTGAAAGAGTTCTTTGTTTGTTAACTATTAAGTCGTACACAGTGTCTCCGGCGCTCTAGCAGTGCGTCTTGAGAAGCGATTTTGCATAATGGGTTTCCCATGTCCTTTCTAGGGGGTGTGGTAAAGGGCGCATATTTAAGGTGGAGGTTGTGTGACCGCCTAGTGCTAGTTTCGCTATAGTTTTTACGAAGTTTCACAATGCGGCTTTCTCGTTGGTGCATAAAGTAATTGATAGAGTTCCTTCAACTTACTGTAATTTACTCTGGAAGTGTTTTTGACATTATAGTACTAATAGTGGTTGGACCGTATCTGTAGTCAACGCTTTTTAGATGAACAGAAGCTTTTGTACAGAGACAGATTTAATGTGTATTTAGCGCAGTTTTCAAAAGCGATCGGTCTTCTTATACAGTGTGTTAGGTAGTTCTGTGTTCGTAGCCAAAACGCTATGATTGCATCGGTGTCTTTTTTCCGAGAAGGAAAAGATTAATAGCTGCGAATGTCGTAGTGGAAGAGTCTAGGGAAGGAAATTTTTACTTTTCAGGTTTCTATAATTACGTTTTCAAAATGCAATCACCATAAGTTTCGCCAATGTAACATCAGCAATTTAGGCATTAGAAAATGTCGTAAAATTGAAAATGAAGCTACATCACTGGATTTTTAAAAGCTTATCAATAAATGCACAAACAAGTAGAACTATTTCAGTTGAATCAGGCGAGGTTGGGAACCGATTGGAAAAAATGAAGGTAGATTAGTATTCTGAAAAAA